AAATGTATTTTAAAGCTTTATTTGGCAAGTTAGTGAGTTTCGAATGAAACACAACTTTACCTTAATGCGTGGGTGTTCCATCGAAAGCGAGATTGCAAGTGTTTAAACAACGATAGCGAGATTGCAAGTGAGTCGCGGTGAGCAAATGTAGCGTAACAAGGTCGAGATCACATCGACGACCGTAGCACTGGAAAGTCCTCTCTGCATCCGAACTGATCGAATGTGACTTCTAGGAGAGAGCGTAGGAAAGAGCGGATACTCTCTCCTACAATCCGAACCAGGCGAATGTGACTCCTAGAAGAAGTGCAGAGAAGATTCCCCCATTGACTCAAATGAGTGGCCAATTAATGTGATTAATAATTGGTATGCTACGGAAGGGGTGGACCATATATCGAACATATCCACTGTCGTAAACAATGTATCGAACCTAAACACCATTTGTATGAAATCCAGCAAAATAGTGTATGGGAGCTATATATACATATGGACCTAATTTAGAACCGTTGCGTACACCATTTGTGTATGTGGCCTATATTTAAATTTGAATCGATTTCAACAAACCTTAACAAATATCATTCTTGCCTCAATTGAATATTCTATGCAAAATTTTGTCTCAATAGGACAAATATTGAAAGTTTGGTGCATCATTCTCACAAAATCGGACGAAAATATATATGGGAGCTATATCTAAATATGAAGCGATTTTAACAAAACTTCGCATACATTAGTCTGGACATAATTCAGTACACTGTGCAAAATTTGGTTTCAATCGAACAATTATTGGGATTTTGGAGCACTATTTAAGATACCCCCCATTCTCGATTCAAAATATTTAATTTTGTATTTGATTTAATTCGAACCTACACCAATTCAAGAATGTCCTTATAAAATTTCATGTGAAAGTCTCAACAATTTTTGAAGATATGACCGATTTATTGTGTTAGCATCAAGTGACGGCAAGAGTGGTTCTCAAACTTTAAACGCATTTTTCTCGAATCAGTGTTTTACGAATGGCGGGCACGATAACTCAAAAACTAATAATTCGAACGATTCCAAATTTTGGGACGTTTCTCTGTGAGTGTATAGATATCGTATGAACTAGTGTAAATCCAATCGATCGAGATCTTCCTTATTTTTTATCTTGGTTTGTGGTAAAAATAGGATATTTTTCAAAAATATTTTTTTAAAGGTCCGCCATTTTGTTGATTTTTGAGCGAAGCCAATAATCCTAGTTCATACGAGAGCCAGAGGGGGGTTCCCTTAAGACAAAATGGAACATTTAGACGATCTGAATTTCAACCAGACTGATAGCGGTGATAATTATCAGTCTATGCCTATGGTGCCGAGTGTGCCCCATCAAATGCCGAAGCTACCCTGGGTAGGGGCACATTCGGCGAATTTGACTTTTTTTACAAAACTGTAAACATTATTACCTAATACTAATTTATAATATGTTTTTGGTATTAGTATTTATGATTAAGTATCAGACGGCAATAACCTGCCATAAAGTTTCTATATCTGTTGAATAAGTACTGAGGTATAGAGCTCTAAAAAAAGTGCCGAATGTACCCCAGTCTCCCTTACCGAAAATATTTTGCTACAATGTTTCTCACGTTTCAAGAATCCGGATTGCCAAAAATACTGAAATTGGGCAATGTCACATCATGAACTTATAATAATACTTTCTGCAAATATATTTTCATCCTCCAAGAACCCGGACTGCCAAATTGCAGCTGCATCGGTGGAAATATGTGTTTAACATCTTCAAAATACGGACAATGGATCTGAACCTTTATTATCTGTACCGTTGTCCATGTAAAACATGGACCAGAAACGAACATATTCTAGAAAAAAATATTTGTCATCCTCCAATGTCTGGGAATACCATATGATACCCGTCAATATATTGAAAATGAGGCTGGACATTTGTATAAGGTTGGGGAAAAGAAATCCATTATTTTTGTCGTCGAAAATGTCGATTAATCGGCGAAATGATCGTAACATCGCTCAGGAGTTAAAAATCTACCATAAAACAGTTTTAAACCATTTACACAAAGCTGGATTCAAAAAGAAACTTGATGTTCGGGTGTCGCACCAATTAACATAAAAAATAAAATGGATCGAATTTCTATCTGCGAAGCCTTGGCCAAACTGGAAATGAGAAATGGATCACAGACGATAACCCTGTGCGAAAACGATCGTGGTCAAAGAGCGGTGGCCAAACCAGGACTAACGGCAAGAAAGGTTCTGCTATGCATTTTGCGGGACTGGAAGGGGATTATTTATTATAAGTTGCTTCCATTCCAAAGGCTAAATTCTGATCTCTACTGTCAATAACTGAACCCTTTGAACATAGTAATCGGTCAGAAACGGCCAGAATTGGCAATAGGAGATGTGTCGTGTTCCACTAATACAACGCTAGGCCCCACACATCTACAGTAACTCGCCAGAAACTTCGGGAGCTTGGTTGGGAAGTTTTAATGCTTCCGCCATACAGTCCGGACTTGGCACGAAGCGATTATAATCTTTTTCTTGAATTGCAAAATTTCTTTATTAATAAAACCAGCAAGGAAAGTAATAAAGTCGGACTGGGCGGACTATATGATAGCCTTCACCACTTTGTGTATATTCTATATAGGTATATAGGGTCTTTGGTGTACCAATTACATAAAATCGGACGAAAATATATATGGGAGCTATATCTAAATCTGAACCGATTTTCACGAAACTTAGTACACGTCATTCTAGCACCAATTACTTAAAATCGGATAAAATATACATATGGGAGCTATATCTAAATCTGAACCGATTTTCACGAAACTTTGCACACATCATTCTAGATCTAGTTCAGTACGCTATGCCAAAATTCGTGCAAATTAAAAAATTTCCGGGGTGCACCAATTACCTAAAATCGGATGAAACTATATATATTAAAAGATTTCCAGGGATTTTGGTGCACCAATTACCTAAAATCGGGTGAAACTATAAGGGAGCTATATCTAAATCTAAACCGATTCTCATGAAACTTAGCACACATTATTATGGACGCAATTCAGTACGCTATGCCAAATTTCGGGCAAAATGAAAGATATATAGGGTCTTCGCTGCACCATTTACCTAAAATCAGACGAAAATATATATGGGAGCTATATCTAAATCTGAACAGATTGTCACGAATCTTTGCACACATTATTCTAGACTTAATTCAGTACGCTATGCCAAAATTCGTGCAAATCAAAAGATTTCCAGGGACTTTAGTAGACTATTTATCTAAAATGGGGCGAAGCTATATATGGGAGCTATATTTAATCTGAACCGATTTTCACGAAACTTTGCACACATCATTCTAGACTTAATTTAGTACGCTGTGCCAAATTTCGTGCAAATCGAAAGATATATAGGGACTTTGGTACACAATTCACCTTAAATCGGACCAAGATATATATGGGAGCTATATCTAAATCTGAACCGATTTTCACGAAACTTTGCACACATCATTCTAGACCTTATTCATTACGCTGTGCCAAATTTTGTGCAAATCGAAAGATATATAGGGACTTTGGTGCACCATTTACCCTTAATCGGACGAAAATATATATGAGAGCTATATCTAAATCTGAACCGATTTTTCCCAATTTCAATAGGGTTTGTCCTTGGGCCAAACAAATGAGCTGTGCCAAATTTCATCCAATTCGGATCATAAATGCGACCTGTTCTTTGTTTACAATTTAACACCAACAGACGGACGGATTATTTTTGCCTGTTACAAACATATACACAAAGACATAATACCCTGTACCACAGTGTGGTGAAGGGTATAAAAATTTGCATCTAGGGAGGATTGTGAAAATGGACTACTAGAGTTTTTTTGTTTTTTTTTTGCAAATAGAGAGCAGGACTTCTATGAGAGAGGCATTATGAATTATGAAATCATTGTATTCGAAAACATCCACTAAGAGATAACGTTCATAGTTACATTTGATCAGTTCACCAATTTAATGATCCAGCAAAAAAGTCCGGTATTAAATGTTTGTACCCTTCCTTATGAAAATGTTAAGATGATGGACTATCATTAAATATGTCAAATCAGTATAACAGTTTTGGGTATTTCTGTTTAGTGTACTACAAGTATGTATAATAATCATTCCATCAATTGGCAACGCTCTATTTAATTTACAGTGGAATGGAAACTAACCAAAATATGCAACAAATTTTCATATCATAAATGTAATAAATTTACATTCAACTACCATGTAGCAGCAACAATGATCATCACGATATTCCACTTTAAAATCCACGATAATGCAGTTTCATGGGCCAAATTCTAATTGAGTTAACCTCAAATTGAAACAAGAGCATCGTTATGAATTTCATTAGCGGTGAAAGGAACTGGTTTTCCAGCAAAGGAATATTTTGGCGATAAAGACGATTTGCAGTTATTTGGCCGCATGGCCGGCAGATGTAAACACCACAATCATTCAGACGACCGAACGGCCATTGACGGCTAGTCAGACAAAATGCATTGCATGCAGCTCTTAAGGTCGGTCAAGTTGCTTCTTCCTCTTCTTTTGGGCAATGATAATGATTTGTGCCTGTCATGGTGCATTTACGGTAAACCCTTGAGTGGGAATATCATGACCTTGTCTTATAAAAAAATCCGAAGTACCTGTTTGTTTTGTTCCTGAACGATGTGCGTGTGTGTGCTCTCGTTGAGTGTCAACAGGGGCACTGGGTCATTGATCATTGATGGTGCGACAGATTCGATTCGAATTTATGCTGCTGAGGGTTATCATGTCGTGCAATTTTTTGAGAGTATAAATTTACTATGTGGTTGGTATGTGGAGGATATTTATGCATGTAGCAAATATGCTGTATCATCCATTGATATAAATAAGTTGCGAAATAAGGAAGAAGACATCAGTTTCCTTGCAACATTTGCACAGTTAACAACACAACATATCCCGAAGTTTAAGAATTTAATTTTCTTCAAATCCAAAAAAATGCAGTTCAAATTCGTAATTTTGCTCGCCAGCATTGCCTTCGTCTCTGCTGGTCTTTTGCCGGAGAATTTCGAACAAAACGATCCTCATGCAAATTATGAATTCTCCTACAGTGTTGACGATCAAGAATCGGGTGATGTTAAGACCCAACTAGAAAATCGTGATGGTGATAGTGTACAAGGCCAGTATACCCTCAACGATGCTGATGGCTATAAACGTATTGTGGACTATTCGGTAAATGGAGACAGTGGTTTCAGAGCCACCGTACGTCGTGAACGTTTGGATGATGCCGAAACCTATACCAAACAATCGATTGAAAAACCAGCAGCAGAAGTTAAGGAAAACCTTGTAAAGCCTGTGGTCCCAGCCAAACCTTTGGTGCAGAAACCCGTGGTACAGAAACCCTTGGTGCAAACCCCTGGCTATTTACGTACCACCGTTGTCCATCAACCCGCAATATATCATGCCCCAGCTCCTGTTGTCCATTTGACACCATCAACACATCATCATATTGTTCATGCGGCTCCAGCTACCACAGTTCTTAAATCGACTCCCACTGTTATTACAACAACAACACATCATCATACCCCTGCTGTAGTCCATCATCACGCTCCAGCCGTTGTTCGTGCCGCTGTGGTCCACCATGCTCCTGCTACGGCTGTGGTACATCATCATACTCCCGCTGTTGCAACACCTCACCATCATGTCTCTTATGTTCATTATCATTAAATACATGCACTTTTTGATGTAATTGTGACTCTATAAATAAAAAAAAAACATTTTTGGAATTGAATTTAAAGTTTTGTTGTTTTTGGGGATTTTGACAATTTATTACCATATTTTTATCGGACATCGAATAAACAAACCATAAAGTCATAATGACTGTTACGACCTCATATTGGCTACTGATTTTTAAACAAATCACCTTTAGATTGTGTTACTGATAAAGCGCCGAACATATGAGAAGGATTAATGTGAAAGGTATTAAAGTTTAATTGTGATAATAAACAACATTCCTTCGCTATTCGCAGTTATTTATGTACAAATTTTGTGTTGTGAAAGGAATGCAATAAAAATATTCCTACAAAAATCGAAAACATTGTTTTAATTAAAAAAAAAAATATATGCATGAAATCGGATTGAAAAAATCAGAAACAAATTCATTGTAGGTTCAATTTCCAAAATATCGCGATCGGAAAAAACTTTGGGTGTTTGAAATACATGTGGGAGGTAGGAGAGACGGGAGCATCTTCGGCATCGAGGCACATTCGGCAATGTCGATTTCGAATTCGAAAAATCTCATTGAACATCACTAGCTTCGATACATGTATATCGAGTATCAAAATAAATAACTGTCGCAAAGTATGAAATCTCTAGCTAATAGGCTTATTGAAATACATGGTTTTCTGCATTTTTGTCTTTGTGCATATGTTTGTAACAGGCAAAAGGAAACGAGATAGACACATGGTTCCTTTTGAGAACATGCATAGAATCACTTTCTGAGTCGATTTATGCATGTCCGTCCGTCCGTCTGTCCGTCCGTCTGTAGATGTTAAATTGTAAACAAAGTACAGGTCGCATTTATGATCCGATTTGGATGAAATTTGGCACAAGTCACTTATTCGGCCCAAGGACGAACCCTATTGAAATTGGGAAAAATCGGTTCAGATTTAGATATAGCTGCCATATATATATATATATATATATATATATATATTTAACCAATTTAATGTCAACGGTTCCTATATATCTTTCGATTTGCACGAAATTTGGTACAGGCTAATCATTTAGGTCTAGAATGATGTCTGCCAAGTTTCGTGAAAATCGGTCCAGATTTAGATATAGCTCCCATATATAGTTTCGTCCGATTTCATGTAAATGGTGCACCAAAGTTCCTATATATCTTTCGATTTGCACGAAATTTGGCATAACATATTGAATTAAGCCTAGAGTGATGTCTGCCAAGTTTCGAGAAAATCGGTCCAGATTTAGATATAGCTCCCATATATAGTTTCGTCCGATTTCATGTAAATGGTGCCCCAAAGTCCCTATATATCGTTCGATTTGCACGAAATTTGGCATAACGTACTGAATTGAGCCTAGAATGATGTCTGCCAAGTTTCGTGAAAATCGATCCTGATTTAGATATAGCTCCCATATATAGTTTCGTCCGATTTTATGTAAATGGTGCACCAAAGTCCCTATGTATCATTCGATTTGCACGAAATTTGGCATAACGTACTGAATTGAGCCTAGAATGATGTCTGCCAAGTTTCGAGAAAATCGATCCTGATTTAGATATAGCTCCCATATATAGTTTCGTCCGATTTTATGTAAATGGTGCACCAAAGTCCCTATATATCCTTCGATTTGCACGAAATTTGGCATAACGTACTGAATTGAGCCTAGAGTGATGTCTGCCAAGTTTCGAGAAAATTGTTCCAGATTCTATATAGCTCCCATATATAGTTTCGTCCGATTTCATCTAAATGGTGCACCAAAGTCGCTATATATCTTTCGATTTGCATGAAATTTGGCATAACGTACTGAATTGAGCCTAAAGTGATGCCTGCCTTGTTTCGTGAAAATCGGTCCAGATTTAGATATAGCTCCCTTTTTATTATAGATTGATTTTAAGTAATTGACGCACCAAGGAACCAATAGGCTGATAGGAACAAAACGTTCTGAAATTAGTATAACCTAACCTGTGACAAGTTTGTTTGAAACCGCTTAATATTTGGATAGAGCTTCCATATATATTTCCGACCGATTTCAAGTAAATTGGGCATCAAACTCCTCATGTTAGTCAGATTGACATCAAATTTTGCACAACGTACAAAATTGAGCATAGAATTACGTAGTTGCGTTTTCTAATAAGTACAGACATAGCCCAACGGATGACCTATTTATATTTGTTTGAAGTCGATTTACATACCTTTGTCCCATTGTAACTAACGAATGACATGGTAGATTCACATTTAGATAAATATCACATATTTTATTTCATCCAATTTCATGTAAATAGTAATGTTTTTTAAAGATTGCTAGAAAAAAATGGAAAACAACTAAGAAAGTACCTTAGGGTAGATTCGGCATTTTAAAGTGTTGCACATTCGGTCGTATACAGATAGTCCTATATTATTCCTTAAAATGATTATTTCCTTAATCATTTAATATGTTCGGAAATTACATATATAAAACAAAACGTTCCTGTGCTGTCGAAAATGCGCAAAATTTCATGTTAATCGGACAAACATTGGGAGTTGGTGCACCATTTAGGTAAAATCGGACGAATATATATGTGGGAGCTACATCGAAATCTGAACCAATTTTTTCCGAAACTTACCATATATCATTCTGGACTCAATTCAACACGTTATGCCAAATTTCGTGCAAATCGAAGGATATATAGGGACTTTGGTGCATTAATTACATAAAATCGGACGAAAATATATATGGGAGCTATATATAAATATGAACCGATTTTCACGAAATTTAACACACTATGTTCTAGACTTAGTTCAGTTAGATATGCCAAATTTCGTGCAAATCGAAAGGTATGTAGGGACTTTGGTATGTCATTTACATTAAATCGGACAAAAATATATATGTGAGCTATATATATATATAACTCTATATATATAACTCAAGTTATATCCAAATCTGAACTTTGAACCGATTTTCAAGAAACTTGACACACGTCATTCTAGACTTTTTTCAGTACGCTAACAATTAAGTAGAAATCAAAAGATATACAGGACTTTGGTGCACCATTTACATAAAATCGGACAAAATATATATGGGAGCTATATCTAAATCTGAACCGATTTTTTCCCAATTTCAATAGGGTCAGTCCCTGGGCCAAATAATTGAGCTGTGCCAAATATCATCCAATTAGGATTATAAATGCAACCTGTACGTTGTTTACAATTTAACATGGACAGACTGACATGCTAAATGGACTCAGAAAATGATTTTATGCATATTCTTAAAAGGAACAATGGATCTATCTCGTTTCTATTTGCTGTTACAAACATATGCACAAAGCCATATTACCCTGTATCACAGTGTGGTGAAGGGTATGAACAGACGAGCTCTGAAATTTTAGATATTTTTAAAGTTATAATTACAATGGTTTGGTTCCTACACATATTCCGATTCTTATAGACCATTTTTAAATCGATTTTATTACAATAACATGACTAGAAACAAATACAGTACTCCGATAAAACAGCTAATTACCGGTGATTGTGAAAATTATTTCGGAGAAATACTCCATGAATAAGTCAGTGATTTATCGAATTATAGGTTGAATTTATGCAACTATATCAGTAGCGACAGTTCAGCACAGAGGAAGGCTGCAAAAGGTAATAATCAACAAATTCTTATTGTAGTAAAAAATACCCATTAAAGAGTTCAACGTAATTTTGAGACGGTTGGATATAACCTCAAGAGTGTGGACGAGTTATGGAGCAGGTCTCCATACCTGGAGACCTAAAGCTCTTTATAATTAGAATTCGACTGGGTGGAGAAATACATAAAGAAATAAAGAAAACTGTGAGGAAGTCCGAAAATGAAATGCTCCTGCCACAGTATTGCAAGGGTACTGGGAAACATGGAGGAGGATCTGTTATTGGGCTGTTATTCTTTTTTGGAGTTAGATATTTACGATATTTATGAAGTAATGGATCGTATTGTGTATGCAAGTATCTTGAAAAACGCTTGGTTCTCCTGGCTGAAGAATGTTCCGCTTGTTTGTGTGTTTCAGCTTGACAATAACCTTCAAACATATTCCAAAAAAATGTCAATGATTTTTTTTGTGGAAGTCAAAAATCAGGGTTTTCCAATGTGCAACACATCATCATCAGATGTTTGCCCTATAGAAAAATATTTGGAGTATCATGGATAGCAAACTCAAAAGAGTTTCACAAACAAACAGACATAGCCTCTGCCCACAGGTTCAGAATGCAAGGAATAGTATCCCCAAGGATCAAATTGAGCATTTTATTAATTCAATGCCTCGTAAGGTGTGCTGCCGTATCATTGTTATTGTTATTTGTAGAAAAAATCCAAAAATTTGGTTTAGTTTTGATGAAGCAAAAATTGGGTCAACTGAGTTTTCCATAGAATATTTTTTTGGCCACAAGTGTATGTCTCTAAAATATGGAATAACGGAGGGTAGTGTTATTTGGGAGCTAACCCGAATCATGGACCAATATTAATAATTTTTGGTGGGGTGATATGCTTTTCCAGTAGAGAATCCCAAAGTATGAAATTACTGCCGGAATGATAAATTTAATATAGTCCCATTATATGGTGGAAGATATAAAAATTGCCAAATTTTGAAATTTGACAAAAATTCCAAAAAGTCACAAATTGATACAAACATTTTTAAAAATTCGATTGCCTAAAGTAATTTTAATTTTTATTATTTTTGCTAAACAAAATAAAGTAAAAAGTGTTCGGTTAACCAAACTAAAAAATCCAACATTTTAAAGGCTTTTGGGGTTTTTTTTTATTTTCTAT